GTGATATGGCTAACAAAGTCATTGCAAGTGCATTGCAGGAAAACAACCCCAGACTGTGTAACTGGCTGATGCAAAGATGATGATAGTGTCTCTTTGGTGAGCTGTGGAGGGATCATGCTGTCTCTCATTCTTTCTCTACATCTCTAAATTGAGAGCTTGGTTCTTTATCTGCTGCATATACACTGTAGATTCATTGGTAGTCTAAGATATAAAGAGTACTTACTCATTCTAGTAAATAAAGAAATTTACATCAATTTAAAAACGAAACAAAATAAGACAGGAGGAAGTTTCTTTTCAGATTCTTCCTTTTCCGTTTGACCATGAAGTGAGCGGGGAAAAACCGGCGTTTTCAGACTCCCTCTTTTTTTTTCTTCAATGCTCTCAGTCACTTCACATAAAACAAATTGTGCAAGAAAGCAGTGAATAGCTGCAGCTGAGTGATGGATAAAGGAAAAAAAAAAAAAAAGCATCCAAGCTGCGCTTTTCAGGATTTTCGGTCGTTTCGCAAAAAAATAATAAATAAAAAAATAAAAATTGTGCAATTCCCATCATCATGTGGATCCCTGTGACCATTTCATTCATGCGCAGGAGACAGGAAACCTGGCAACACTTGACAAGACTTTCTGAATGAGTTGCTTTGAATCATCCTCCGGTCCACTGGCGGAAGTTTCCGAGCGAGGCAAATGAGCACCGTTTTCCGTCGGCTCCAACCTGCTATGTATTTTATTTTTTTCTCCCCCGGCGAACCTGTTTCTAAATCTTTCACTTCGCCCTCCAAACCAACTCCCGCACTTGAATATTTCAATATGTGTGCTCTCTTGGCTATGGGAGGATCGCGAGGTTGCCGCTGGTGATGACAGGCCGCCGCGGCCTCTTTCGGTCTTTAAGTGCAGAAAATAGTCCACTTTACCTGGCAGCCTGGCGGAAGTAATGGAGTCCTCCATTAGCGTGGCTAGGCTTTTTGTCAGCGGCTGGGTGATCCCCGGGGGCCGCTGTGGCGCCGGATATGCCCCCCCCCCCCAAAAAAAAGATCCTCTGGAGATGTGAAAACAAGCCTCTAAACTCCCGCGCGTGTTCGCCACGCTCTCTGCTTCCGCTCGCGCTGCTTCATGGGAGGCGGTTATAATCGGACGCCGCTGGTTCTTGACTTGATTCTGAGCTTCTGCTGTAATGTGTCCTGTGGCAGCAGAAATATGTGACGGAGAAAGAAACATAAAATCAAATAAAATTCCAGCACATTTTGAAGTGATACCGAAAACGAAGCCACATTCATGAAATGGATGAAATTATTCTAATGTCTTTGGAGAATATTGTTTATTTCCCAGGCACATGTAGCGCTATCGAGGATCTACATTATCTTCAGTTCTTATAACAAAGATGTGTACATCAAACATAACTGAAAGAATTTGAACCTCGCAATTTGATGTGCTGAAATTGGGACTCTGTCTCTTTAAGAAGCTCCTGTTGTTTTTGACACATCGTCACACTATTTCTCCGTTGAGCCATTTACAAACGTTCTTAGGAGGGTCCCACTCAGAGGTGGCTCACAAAATGAGCTCCACAGATGAGAAGTTGCACCAGGTGTTTGCTAAGTGTTGCTGCTGCTAGTCTGGAGGAGCTCAGTGTGGGAAAGAAAGAATCAAAGCAACATTCTGGTTATGTTTTCAATGACCAAACAACATTATGATGGGATGTAAAGCTAAAAAGCCTGTTATTTCTTAAACTAATAGTAAAAGCATGGATTTTAGAAATCACACCAACAGTTTTTCTTAACTCTTCCTCACAAGTTTATGCTAAAATTGAAATAAAACATGTTCTGAAATAAAACATTATGACAAATAAAACAATGTTATTTGTCATGTCACAAATAACATTGTGACATTATGATCTCTGAAAGGGTTTTTATGTATCTTATGATTTATTTTTATTTTTTTTCCTTTTTAGTTTTGATTTCTTAAAATTTTTTAACTTGTGCCGTTATAAATTTTTGTCGGTTATTTTGTTTTAGAGGAAGTCTGGTGCTTTGGTCTCAACTATCCCACTATTTTGCCTACAGAATTCATTTTATTTGTCGCTTCCGTTGATTTGTTTATTTATTTTGGATATTTACAATGTCCTCCACTGCTTAAATGTTCATCAGAATTTTGAGTTTATCGATATTCGAGAAAGTGTTGTTGCGCCATTCTTCCATGTTACTTGGAAAACGGCCTCCAAACAACAATATTACCATTTATTGCAATAAGTTCTGGGACGATTTATCGTGTGGCAAAATTTGTTGTCACGACAGCCCTAGTTCAAAGTTCATGTTGTTTCTGAAGAGCATCGACACTGACGTTACGCCAGCACAGGCACATGCCGACCCCGGTCTACTGCACTAGAAAATGTTGCCTTGTTTCGAGGAATCACACTTTCATTGACTTCATGTGGATGACCAGGTGTGTCTGCGGCACTTATCCAGGAAATTCTGGGTGCTGTCGTCGATGTGGGCGTTACTTTCACACCTAACACAAACATAGGCATTGTCGCAGACTGAACACGCCACTTCACAGAAACAGTAGTCACTGCTGCTTGTGGATTGGATACTGAACAGAAAGCAGGAGTAATTCGGGAACAGTTTTAGGAAACAATCAATTTGAGCTCCTTAAATATCCCAGATTTCCATTCAGTTTGGCATCTATGGGATGTCCTGGAAATAAAAAAACAAGCCTGATATGAGAAGGCTGAACACAGTAGGTATTTTAAAAAAAAAATTTTTTAGCAAAAGGTGTCACCAACACACTCTAAGCCAGGCGATTGTACGCCAGATTGGTGGAGGTCCTTTTTGTAAAGCCAGTGTTGGCAAACAAATTCCTTTTCTTTTTCTTTTTTCTAGGGAGATTAAATGATAATAACAAGAGAAAACATCTCAAATCAAATTTGAAAATGAGTCATAGTTGTGGAAAACTGCCCTCCACAGCTCCAGACACAAAATTACCCCCACAGACAGCTCTCCCATCATTCAATAATGAGATTGCCAGAGAGCCTTTCTGGCAATCCATTATGTATATCTAAGAATCCCTTTAGCTTGACGAGAGCCAATCCCTATGTTTGTCTCATATCTGTTTGATAATATCCATCTGACTATTTTTATCCCCTCTTCGTGGCTTAAGTGCATTTTAATTGAGTGTAGTAAACTGTTCAGACATGTTGTTAAAGACAGTATAAGCTAAATCTGTTAGATAATACCCATTTTGCTCAGCTAACCTGCGCCAAGGGATCTTTAGAACGTGCGTGTGACTAATATGGTATTAAATTGAAATCTGAGTCAGTATGGCACAGGATTTTTCCTACATTTCTAAAGCACGTTGCATCCAAGCTACAGCAACGCAAAGAGGCAACTGCAACGCTAAAGTATCGTACAAAAAAATGATGGACGTTGCCATGACAGTGCTGACGTATTGTGGTATGAAATGCATGCGGGCCGCCTGCTTTGGGTGACCTTCAAATTATACATGCGTGTGGTTCAAGAGGGGAAGTGAAAGAGTAAAGCTGATTAAAAAAAAAAAAAAAAAAAAGCTTGACCAGTGTCAAATGTTCTCATGACCGGGGGCTGGGCTGTGTCCGCTTTCTGTGCTTAAACGCAAACGTTTTCACCCGCAGCGCACGGCAGCCATATTGCCCACGCTAAATGATCCTGCAGCCATGTGTTGATCAAGCTGCCATGTGCTCACAGGCAGAGATGCCTGCACGCCCGTCAGGTGTTTGTCCTGTGAATTTTTTGCTGCCTGCTGTGAGTGACAAGCACCAAAGCGAACGCGTACAGAGGAAGAGCAAACTCGACGTCTAAAAGCTTCTCCCCGTGAGCACAAATCCTTCCCTAAGCTGACTGAGCCGAGTTGGATTTTCTCTCTGGCGATAGCATCGCCGCTGTGCTACCAAGGTGGAGGGCGGTTTGGGGAATTGCCTCTTGCTCTCTGAAGCCTTTCTTTATCTTTTGATTAACAAAAGGGTAGAAACCACAGAAAGCACTTAAAGCCTGAAATGTACAACTTTTCATCAATGACACATTCGCTGCTTTAGATGAATGCGGACATTGAGCCAAAACGCGGTGCGATGTGGACACACTTTTTTTTTCTTCCCGTTCTGTGAGAATAGTGATTATTTTCTCTGTTCTTCACATAGCCGCGCTTTTCACACCTATTTTTATTCCTCTGACACCCCTCAGCTGCTGCTTGGATCCACTGTGCCGCCTGTTTGATTGATGGCTCCTTTTTCCCGCTGCTAAGCTCTCGGAGCCGGAGTAAAGCGCGGATAAGTCTCGAGGCTATGACAGCGGTTATGACCTCTCAAGGAAATGCTTTTAATATCACTATATACAGAAAGACCTCATGTGTGTCTGGGTGCCCTCTCAGTGAAAAAAATCCTTTCCACTTTAGAACATTTTTTTGCATTTCAGCCTCCAACTTCAATATCTGTCTGACATGCACCGACTTTGGGGCCTTTCTCTTAGCAATGCAGCTCAGTCCGAACGGAAAGTGTCTGTGAACAGCAACTTTAAAGCTTTGCCACAGCTTTTCCCTTTGGACTTTTGCTTGGACTTTGAGCCTTTTAGCTAATTATGTTGCATTGTAAGGGTCAAGACTTCAATGTCGGTCTCCTCTAAATAGAAAACCTTCTTCTGTATTTATCCAGAGTTTCCTGAGTGGCTTGTAGCCCTACTTTAGACCTCCCCACTTTATCCTTGACCCGTCTGCCATCTTTGGTTGGTCTTTGCGACGCTATTTGTGGATTTATGATTTTCAAAGAAAATGCCTTTCATTACATATCTTGCCATTAGCCCCATTATAGTCACAATATATCAAATGGTAAATCTTTCGCATTGCAACGAGAATGATAAACCTACGTCATGGTCATAGAGTTTACAAAAAAAAAAAGTTAAGCGGCCTCATTCATGTTTTGGCTATTGCTGAAACCCCCCTGTTGAGATTAACCCTGATGTCTTTCTGCTTCCTTTCATACAGATACCTTGGGATCACACGGCCTCTCACCTACCCAGCACGGCAGAACGGCCAGCTGATGGCTAAAATGATCCTGGGAGTGTGGCTAGTGTCGGCATCCATCACCCTGCCACCTTTCTGCGGCTGGGCCAAAAACGTCCACACGGCCGGCGTGTGCCTCATCAGCCAAGACTTTGGCTACACCATCTACTCCACAGCAGTCGCCTTTTACATCCCTATGCTGGTCATGCTCTTCATGTACTACAAGATTTTCCGGGCGGCTCGCAAGAGCGGCGCCAAGCACCGCTTCACGGACCTGTCCCGGCGCGAGCGCCTGGAGACGGTGGCCAACGAGGCGCTCCGCATGCAGGGCCTGAAGCCACCCGGCGTGGCCGAGGAGTGCGCCGCCTTGTCCCGCCTGCTGAACCGCGAGCGCAAGAACATCTCCATCTTCAAGCGGGAGCAGAAAGCGGCCACCACGCTCGGGGTGATCGTGGGCGTTTTCACCGTGTGCTGGCTGCCGTTCTTCATCCTGACCACCGCCAGGCCGTTCATCTGCGGGGTGGAGTGCAGCTGCGTGCCCATCTGGCTGGAACGCACTCTGCTGTGGCTGGGCTACGCCAACTCGCTGATGAACCCCTTCATCTACGCCTTCTTCAACCGAGACCTGCGTTCCACCTACCGTGACCTCCTCCGCTGCCGCTATCGCAACATCAACCGGCGACTGTCTGCCGTGGGGGTTCACGAGGCTCTGAAGGTGTGAAGCCTGGACGGTTAACCGGCATACTTTGCGGTCCAGATGTTAATTTTTCTTTTTAAAACTGCACTTGTTGCCGATAAAGGGCATAGCGCACACAGCAGGCCTGCAGATAAGACACAGACTGACAGAAAGAAAAAGTTGCTTCTGGTCGCTCTTAAGCCCCTCCGCAAAGCCATGGAGACAGCAGGAATACTTCAGTTTGCAGATGACTCAATCTTTCTATTTTGGGAGAAAAAGAAAGCAAAAAAAAAAAAAGCCAACATAGTGGATATTGATGGGCCACTTAAACTGAAGCTGGTTTTGTGCATATGCCAACAATTACATCCTGGCTCCCGATTTATGGTGCGATGTTGGAGCAAGAGAGAGAACTGACATGTAAACAAAAACAATTACCCCTGGGCTTTCAGCTACAACAACAACAAAAAAAAATCCAAACAGATTCCAGTACATAAACCGAAGTGATGTTTTATAGAGACGAGTGTTTTTGTTTTCTCTGTCAGCACATAAGTGAACACCTGCGGCACAGATAGCAGTCAACAATATTCACGCTCCTTAGTTTTCCGCGGTAGCATTTATGATCGGACCGCTCGTGGAGTTCCATAAAAGTTGCGGGAACCGAAAACAGTCGCTGGGATCAAGGCGATGAGAGAGGAGTGGTGTTATAAAGCGCGGCGTCCCGTCTGATGATGGCATTGCTCTTTGTTGTGAAAGAAGAAGAGTGTTTTGTCGAGTGTCTGCATGAAACATCTGTCTCACGTTTCACCGTGCACATCGACCAAATACATGGATTTGAGAGGGAAAGAAAAAGAGCAAGCGTTGAAGAAGTGTTGTCATGGTTTTAGCCAAACACTGCAGCCCCCGCTTGAACTGAACACGACCTCATTCCTCTACCATATGTGTCCTGAACCTCAGCATTGTGGGCTTTTCTGACTCTTTGTCATCCCGCCTTGATCAGTCTCGTTCATCAGCAGCTCCTGACCTTTCCACTCGAACGCTCGGTCTGTTCCCCAAGACTCCTTGCTGACAAACGTTTCCACTCGAGCGTGGAAACCAGGATGCGGTCACTCCCCTCCTGGCTGCGCTCCCATTTTAATCTCCGCTGTGACCTGTACAAAATCCGTGTCAAACGTCGTCATCGAACAGTGTGTGCTTTCTCTACCTCAATTCTTTGGAAAATACTGTACATTGGTTCATCTTTTTTTTTCTTTTAAAACTTAGATGTGCTGTTGTATTATTTTTTTCACTGCTGTTTTTTATTATGTAAATTATCCTGTCGAAAACCCCGTATGAGTGCTCAGTGTGACCACTTTGTCGTTAGTTTTAGAAAGCCTCCCAGAAAGCGGCAGTGTATTTCATCACTTTGTAAATAAAGAAGCATTTCAAATATGACTGTGTCCTAATGGGTAACATCACATGTACAGCTTTGAGAAGACTTCCTCCCCCCACATACAATGTCTTCTCACTTTTTTTTTTTTTTTAAGTTTAGACGAAGATAATTCCAGTAAATACAGGCTGCAATTTTCAGTTCCTAATTTCATTTACGCAAAGAAGAAGCTCTCCAAACCAGTCTGGACCCAAATCTAAATCCCCTCTTGATGAAACTGATCAAACCTAATTTCACCAGAGGGTTGACCAGATTAGGGATTAGCCTAACACTAACACGCTAACACTAACAAATCAAGAAAACACTCAAAGAAAAGCTGCCTTACGACATGGAATAGACCCAAGGACTTTAAAAAAAAGAAACACATCATGCCATTACCTAAAGAAAGCTAAGAGTAGATGAGTAGTCAGTGTAGACTGAGTTACAAAGAGATGTGTGAGCTCTTGAGGATCAAATTGCAGTGACAGTCATTATCTAGAAGAAGAAAAAAACTGGTGAACCGTTCCAGGAATAGCAATCAGTTTGTAATCTTCATCTAAAGCGCAATTGAATTTTGAGCACAAGCAGCGTCTCAGTTGGATAGTTTGGAATTTGAATAGGCCACTCTAAAATCCAGACATTTTTTTTCTTTTAAACCCATCAGTGGCAGACTTGACATAACCCGAGCCATTGCGTTTGAAACCAAAGACTGATGGTCAGACATTTGTCTTCTTTGTTTTCCGGCACACAGCAGAATTCGTGGTTCCTTCAATTGCAGCAAGTTGTCCAGTTTCCTGAAGTAGCAAAGGAGAAATTTTCCTCGAAAGTGTTGGGATTCATCAAGACATTCTGTGTCAAATGTGCGGCAGGCCTTTTGGTCAGTAATGATTTTGGCCTTTGAATTCTTCAAAAGGATGCCATTTTGCCCACTTACTTTGCACTGACCCTCGAGGCAATTTATTCTTTCAGTGTTTCAGTTGTTGCTCTGGACTTGGACCTTCTTGATGTGTTTGGAGTAAATTTGGTGGGCTGGGAAGTTTTACCTCTCTTCTATGTTTTCATCAGTTGTGGATGAGGCTTTCGGTTTGGTTCACTGAAGACCCAATGCTTCAGAAATAGCCTGTTAGCTCTATTCAGGCTAACTTGACTAATGAGATTTCACTTCTCACATCTAATCCAGATTGGTTGCGGTATATTTCCCCCCCATTCGTAATTGAAATCATCATTTGAAAACCACGTTTTGTTTTACTGACTTAACACATAAGTGTGACAAAAAAGCAAAATGGAAGAAAGCGCTAAGGGGGTAAATACTTTTCCACAGCGCTATGCCCTCCCAGTTTTGCTTCCTCGGATTGAGATTCACTTTTTGATCTGCGGATGTTTCACTAATCTTTAAATATTCTGTCCTCACACAACACTTCCCAATCAAATGCCTCACGTGTGCAGATTATCATTTAAAATTTATTATCCTCCCTTCCAGCTTTGATTCGTCCCCATCTGAAATAAATCCAAACTCTGAGGCAGGCCGGAAGATTAAAAAAAATATTTTTTTTACATGTTTATTGTGCCACTCACAAAGACTATGGAGATCTGTTGAGGGACAGTGACCCAAAAAATAATAAAAAAATGCTTTCATTCTCTGTTTGCTTGGAGCAAGATCTTTTATTCAGTCTGGGTTGACAGCGGTCTGTTTGCTGTCATGACTCAAACCGTTCGGAGACTCTGAGACGAGTTGGTGTCTTGACACTTGACATGGTTTGTGCTGCAGTAAGGAACAATGAACGCTGGTAAATCAAAGTCTGGAATGTGCAGAAAGACTTTCAGTTTCTTTGGAGCTTTTTTTCTCCTTTGCTTTGCAACATTTCCTATGTCTGACATCTAACTTAGTTCGGCTTTGGCTTTCACATATGATGATACTTTGGAGTGTCATTTGCAGGTTTTCTACAATAACATTTGAAGTTGTGAAACTCTGAGTTGCAACTTTTGCAAACTGGAGCGTCTTTTCATGCCTTTTCATCTTGTGCAGCAATCGGCCGCCGTTGCTCGACCGCAGTCTGAGATGAATACATTTCTGAGGCTCGTCATCAGCCTGAACAGCAGCAGGGGGTCTGGCCCGATCAGCGACATTTGAAACAGACTTTTTACACTGGGGTTTTCACAAAGTCAATATGGGTATTTTATTGATAGTGCTGGGATTTCAGAATACATTTTATGTCTACGAAGTAAGCAAAACTTGTATTTTCCGCTAACTTGTAACTTTCAAAAAGGGGGGAAGTGGAATTCATTGTAGATACAAAGTATCATCTGGTTTATTTGAGAAACTCTCTCTGAAGTCATGTTAAAGTCAAGGATAACACCAAACCTGTGAAGCATTTGAAGGTAAAAAAAAAAAAAAAACAAGAAAGGGAGAAAAACCTAAAAAGAACACAGGAGCACAGGGTTCACTTATAAAGGAACTACGCAAAATATTCAAATGATGTCAACACAATACACAAGAGTATGTCGTGGCTTTTCTGTGAAACACAAAAATATGTTGATTTAAGTAAAACGCATCAAATTTCACATAAAACTATCATCTTCACCATTTCTTCTTCTTTTGTCTGTAACGGACAACAAGCTTCACGATGCTGCCATGTACGGCCCCACCTTTCTGTTACTGTGAACAAAGGAAGCAGAAGTGAAACGGATATTCAGGATAATTCATGGTAATTCATGATAAACGCGTCAGATATAAGGAAGTTACTTCGGGGAATACTTACATCAAAATCTTTGACGATCCGTACAGTAAAACAGTTGGGAACATGACCCAAGCTAGCTTTCTGTGTTCACACACACACAAAACAAATTGTGAGAGGCCCAAGTGAAGCCTGTGAATTGCCCAAAACACGTTGTATGTCTCAGCAGGTGTTACTCTTGGGGAATGAGAACCAGCCTGGAAGCAGACGGCGCTCTCTCTCAGCGAGTGTGACTCTCTGCCTGATGTGTCTCATCAGCATCAGTGAATAGGATAAGAGGGTGAAATGTTTACGTGTGAGGAAGCAGCTATAATTCATCAAAGGGACCGAAGAGGGTAGTAGCAGATGAGTCTTTTCACATTAGCTGCCCACGGGCCTCGTCGGCAGTTCTGACAGGCTGTGGGGGTTGACGAGGTAATGGACACTTTTGCCTTGCCGTTTTTTGATCCAGCCCAGTAATTAAGAGGGGATGCTTTGATTAGGCATGGGCAAACAGAACCAAGAACTGCAATTTCATGTCCCTCACACCCCAAACACCCAGAGATTACGAGCAGCCTTTGTGAGACAGCGAATTCGGCAATTACACTTTGATGACCAGCTATTTATAGCTGATAACCCGGAGCATTTTCATGCACAGAACCAGGGGCGGAGCTCCAGGGTCGCAGCTCCGAATGGGAGGGAGAATTGCTGGGTTTCAGACGACGCAGCATCGACGTCACCCAATGCAGATGGAGGGCCGGAAGTAACTGCAGCCAATGTTCCCTCAAATTGTTCATGTGTCTGAGCGTACACACAAGCTTCCTGGGCACACTGAGGACCACTGTGAGCATCATCAGTGTACACGGCGTGGCCATGCACAAGTATCATAAATCTGGGATCATAGAAAGTTGCATGGCTTATAAAAAAATCAAATTACATCAGCAATTTTCATTCGTTTGCTTTTAATTTAAGTGATTTGCTCAATTAAAATAAAAAAAGAAAAGAAAACATTAATGTTCATGAGATGCATGCTATAAGTAAGAGTCCTGCTTCAGCCAGGGTGAGAAATGAGACATTACACCTTTCAAACATAAATGTTTGTTCATATTAAAACATTCACATTTTGCACAATGAAATGTTTTCTGTAGCTTGTGATGCAGTATAAATTCTTGTAAAATATTTAATTACAGTTTTTTTCACGTCTGCCCTTCTCACTTCTTCTCACTTCTCCAGTGGTTGTACACTTAGCCCAGGTTGATGGTCAGTCTGCTTCTTGCTTTATGTACTTGAATTCAGCATATTGACTGTTAATGGCCTCCATAATCTGTGGGTGGAGGAGAATGGCCTCATACTTCTTTGCCAGTGTACAAATGTCTGCTTATCCATAGTCAAAAGTCTGAACTCAACATTTCAATATCAAATGCAGACCATTCCTTTCATTTGATTTGATTCCATTTGATCTTAGAAGAAGTGCATTTTTTTTTTACTTTGGCTTGGTGAGTGGATGTCCCACGTAGACATGATAAGGTGATGGCTTTCACGTTTCTTAACTCGACCGCACTATTCTCACCTGCACCGCGCATATGACCAAGGCACGTAACCCACGTACACACAGCCAATCAGCATGCGCTGATTGGCTGCGTGGCGAAAGTGAACCGTATCGTATCATTGGCTGGATTCCTGTCACTCATTGAGTTCGATCGCAAAAAATTTTTTATTGGTCCATAGTCAAAACTGATGTCTGAGCTCAATGTCCACTTTACGTTGGACTTTATTTTATGCGCTACATAGATTTTCTTGTGCGCTGAGAATATGTGAGCAGTGCGCGATTGCGCAGGCGCGCAGCTTAGAGGGAACATTGACTGCAGCCCTTTTATTTCAGTCGCTTTCACAGTTCAGGTTGAGCATTTTGGAGCCCAGACAGCAGAATAGCGTAGTTATGTTATTTTACAGTATTTGTGTCATCGTTAAAAATAATCTGGAATGGATTGAAACACTCTCAAGCAGTGACGGTTCACCAAAAAAACTGCAGTCCAATCAACTCAAACTAAACAAAAACAGTTTTATTTTTCATCAGCATAGAAGAACTCATAATCTAATGGTAATTGCAATTCCACCAAGCCTTTTTCCTCTCTCACCATTCAATATCTTGGGTGTATTTCAACAAAACATACACTTACGTAGTTTCACTGTGGAATATTTGGACTTTTATTTAAGTGCAACACTCAAATTGAGCCCCTGCATTTACAATAAGAAGGGCTCATTCACTAAATGGCAACAATTTGCAACCATGTTGAATTTGTTGAGGC